CAAACAATCAACTTTATGTACTTACAGATAATCGTACATGGATAAAAAGCGAACTCAAGAACTTGTGACAAAAAACGATTTCTTTGGTCCTTGTACTGGTATTGTTAATTTATTACATAAATGTTCTCGCTTACACATTCATCAATTCATGTTATTACCTAATTCTCGAATGATAAATGAGCAAAAAAAACTGTATATACAACGAAGTTTGTGGAAATAAATAAACAGGATTGCACTTGCGCAGTTTAATTTCATAAAATAGTGCATACTCTTAAATATTAACAGGAAGCAGAAAAGCATCATCTAGCTAGTCAAATGATTTTAAATATTTAATGGATGAAAAAGTTCCTTCAAACGTTTGTCAACAGAACTTGAAATAACTAAACCATAAGGCAGAATTTATGGCAAACTGATAACTTTCACTTTGAATAACTTTCACATGAATTAGAAAACAGAATTTCACTTCACACTATAGAACACTAAGTATGATTTAATTTTTGATATCCAAAGTTGCGAATACGTAGTATTCTGACTTACTTACATACTTATGTATGTAACCGCGAACACGGCAGTTTTCGCCTTTGGTAGAAGTATTTTTTGGCATAGTTTTGAGTTCTATACTAATGTATAGAACATGAGAAACAACAGTGTGTTTGTTTCCTTGATTGACGTTTAAATAAGGCTTAGAAAATTCTTAAAGTAAGAAATAATAGTACTTTGTGTTTCATATTTTGAAAATACCTTCTTTATACAGTTATTGTACAACTGTTTTAGAAGTTTTCAGCGAGAGCAGCTGGGTACATGTTATAGAATTTTAAAGTTTACTGAAAAATAACGACATTCTTGCGATATTTGGACTGACAATATAAACTTTAATATATTTAGTCTATGGAGGAGCTACTAAAGTAAAGATATTAATGAGTTAAGAAATGCAAGTTTCTATTATTATTATTTATTTATGTTAAAATTTCTTCTCCCGTTTCCATTTATTTTATATATGTTTTATATACATTTTATTTCTTATTCAACATGTAATATATATTTGGTTATAACGACGTAAGAAGCGATTCCTTGAAATAATCACGAAATAAATAGTGTGCAAACATATCCAATGTTTTATTTTTAATTATATCTTTGAACATTCGTCTATTCACAGTCTAGTCAATTTGAATTAGTTTTCGAAGCAAAGAGTTTCTGAATTTATTATTGAACTATTTACTTTAAAAAAAGAAACACACGCACAAAAAACACTAGACTTGCCTGAGTTGTATAGTTTTATTAGGTTATGTTTATTTTAGATTAGATGTTTGTATTGTTGTTTTGTTTTGGCTAAAGGGAGTTTTGACGTCACATGATAAACGAGTTCTTTAACATCTGGATTTTTCTGAAACTTATATAAAACGATTTGAATGATATAAAACGTGAATTAGGCTGGAATAAATATTGATTTCAATATTCAGTTAGTAAGTTTGTTAGTTGGTTCGTCTGTTACTTCAATATTGTGAATATTGAGTTTGTGTTTCAACAAAATACTAGAACTGGCCAAGTGGTAATAACAATGTGTAGGCTCAAAATATTTAATTTAAAAATAAAATTAACACTTATTTTTCGGCTCTAGTGCATTATGTATGTATAAACTGTTAAGAAAAACGTATCTGAGTATTGTTTAACTTATGGAGGTGACAAGTTATTGTTATATGGAATCGACAAAAATTAACATGGTAAATGGTAGGGCAGATATGTAGATCTCTCAACTACTTCTATGGATAGGTTAATTTATTTACATGAAAGTAAAACTGTAGAATTTGTAAAACTTATAACCAAAGAAATAAAACGCTTTCATTATCATTAAATGGACTGGAGTGTGCATTCTTCTTATAACCAAATAATATAAAACAACCCCCTTGTAATAAAAGTCGTTACAACACTGTTATTATGAGAGGATCGTTTGGTAAAAATAAGATAAGATTCAGATGACAACATATGCTTGAAGTGAGATTAAAAATTCAATGGAAGTGGTGAAACAGTGGAAGAAGATAAAGAAAAAAGTTACAGAAAATTAAACGAAGAGCAGTAACAAAGAGACAAAAGATTAAAAGAAGAGAAAGAAAAGAGCAGGAAATTATAAAAAAAACTTAAAAGAAATACATAAAAATGGAAAGAAAGTGTGTTTGCTTGTAATTAAGCACAAAGCTACACAATGGGCTATCTGTTCTCTGCCCACCACGGGTATCGAAACCCGGTTTCTAGCGGTGTAAGCCCGCAAACATACCGCCGTGCCACTGGAAGGCTAGAAAAGAAAGAGACAGAAAGTTAAGAGGGGGGGGGGGAATTACAAATACGTGAAATTAGATTTACAGAAGAATTATGAGCAAAAATCAATTTATTCAAACTGACAAGATCAAAGAAACCATAGAAAATGTACAGACTGAAGTCGTAAAATTAATGAAGATGTACAGAAAGATTACGAAAACATAAATGAAGTAAAAGAAGGACTTAACGACGTAAAAAAAGATTACTGATGAAGTACAGAAATATTACCGAAACATCAAAGGAGATATAAGAAAGACATTAGTGAGTAAAAAGGGGCATTTGCACGAGAATGAAACATTTAGAAACTAATATGCCAAAGCAAGGTTCAAACCAGTCACGACTTTCTCTGTATCCTTGCAAGAATATCAACCACTAACACCATGCTATGCAATATGGAATAGAAGAACCCGATAAGAACTTCAGGGTCCATATGCTGGGGTTAAAACCTAAGGTCCAGGTGGTGAGTATGTATCCAAGAAGTGGGCTGGTCACTACATCGTGTGCTATGAAAGAGACTGGGGTTGAAATTCGCCCTAGTACTCCCGCAAAATCCAAGCCTGAGAAGAAACCATCTGATCTACACTTTTCTTCCAACATTATTTGGCTACCTATGACTGCAATACCTTCCTGGACTACTCCAGCCACACCACTAGTTCATCAAGTTATGGAAGTTAGTAGGCAAAGTCCGATAACTTTGCCCATTCGAGAAATCTACAGACACTCCTAATAACTATCAGCCACAGATGACTTATCAAGCAGATTTGAAATTTGACATCAAAAGGAAGTTTCTAAAGCAAAGCTTAGGAGCAGAGTAAAACTTTAGCCGAACTTCCTGATGACGTGGAATGACTTGCCCGATTAGAGTGTTTAGCTGTTCTAAGTGAACTAAAGGATTCGTTGGCCTGCGATCAATTTATAGTTACCATAGTAGATGAAGATATGCGAATTATGATAAAGAAAAATAGGTGCAGATCTTCCACGGAAGCTTTCTATTGGTCATGAAACTTGAATAAGTTAAAGCGCATATAAACAACTAATAGCACCATCCAGGAATTATGGGATCATCAGATAAAGTAGTGACTACAATAAATCACTTACTTGAGTAAAAATCCTCACACAAAATCCTCACATATTACTGGTTTTTGATACAAATCTACTAGGAATTATAGATTACTGGTTTCTCTTATTAATAGAATTTTCAGAAAATTATCGTGAATCATTGTCTTTAATTATAAGCAATCTAGAAAATCATACTCAAAATTTAGTCCCACCTATCATATATTTTGAATATCAATATTTCAATTGCGATCTTTTTTATTATGTTTAATGAATGCTATTAACTGACGTTGTAAATGATACTGAAAGGATGTTAGTGCACTGAATGTTTACAGTGTAACTCATGAAGAATGACATTCTATCTCAGATAACTGCAATCTTACCATGTTTCTTGATGCGAATCAACATTGTTATCATAGTTGTTCCAATGTGAATTTAATTACATCGCGAACTTAAGTATTAAGTTTAACAACACAGGAAAGTTTAAGCAATGGAATATTATTCTGCACGCTGAATACGTTTTTTATTACAGTTATGCTTTAGAATGTTTAACGTGGGAATCGCATCCATGTTCAGCTTTTTTATGATGTAAACTCGAACACCCACACGTTCTGGAATTAGAGACATGTAAGCTGAGACATCCTGATGCTATTTAGAAAATTGTTTAATTTCTTTAAAGTTCTAACAAATTGTATTATCAGATATTTGTGTAAAAGTTTGATTTCTTCAAAGCTTTGTTTAATTATTCTCACTTTTCGTTAAAAAGGTTTCAAAAACTAAGCATTTCCTTGGGTAAATGAATCAAAATACGCAATAGATATTTTTTAAAGAAAATCTAGAATTCTATTAACGTGTTAAAATTATAAATTCGTGAAAGTATTCCTGTATGGTTAGCAATATACTTATTCAATTATTTTAAAAAGTCCATTAAAATAGAACACTTGACAGGATATTCTTCTTATCAGCTCTTCATACTTGTGTGAAGAAATTTCCTAGACTTGGAAATAATTTAGAGCTTATAACTAATCTGTATGTTTAATCATACAACAGTACATTAATAACAAATAAACTATTTATAGTGAAATACAACAATTAATGGGCATTCATGTCATCGTTTTTAATGCTTATAGATCATGTAGTTCTGTATAATTTAATTTGTTTACTATGTTTACTAAAAACATCGTAAATACAAATGGCTAAAGTTGAAACCAATTACTATATTTCTGGAAATTTGCTCAATTTGAAAAGAATATAAATAATTTTACTGTTGGAACTGGTATGAAAAGTACAGGATAGAATGGAACTGATATAAAAAAGTATTGGATAGAAAGAAAAATATGATTGGCTTCTTTGTTAATCTACGAATTGCCTGAAATTAGGTATTAATGCACCTATAGTAAAGCGATATTAAGCATTATTTGAGCTATAAGGATAAATTTATGTTTAATTATGGCTATAAATAGTGTAA